AGGTGCAATGCCTTCCGAAAACTCCCAAGTCATTCACGACGAACTTCGTGAGGTTAAATTCTACCCAGCAATGGCCTTGTTCACTCTAATAATCACCTCAATCGCTTCTTCTTAAACGTTAATGCTCTTACCCATAGCTACATGTAAAAATCCCACAACGCTGCCACCACCTCAGCAGCTCATCTAAACAAAGTGTCGTAAAACAATATCTCGAATCGGGTCACTAACACTGGGATGTCTAACCGTGCGTATCAGCTCGCACTAGCTCGTACTGCCGGACCATTTGCCTCTAAGTGCACTTTCAGGTCATGATGCACAATAGAATCACCGTCACGCCGAGAGAAAACGCATAGCGTCTTTTTTTATCATATGTACCCATATGTGCAGTCACTTGATAATACATTGGTTGAATGTCAGCCATCACAGCGTACCGTATTTATATTGCTAAAATCAGAGAAGGACATGGGCGTGGGGTTAGGGGCCCGCTAAAGGACCCCGAAAAAATTGATATTTCAGAGGGCGAACGGTGCCATTTGGATTTGGCACGGTTTAGAACTACATGTATGATTAAGTTCTAATATCAAGAGGGGACCACTAGTGTGATTTTTTCAGAAATCGAAGTGTGTGTGTGTGTGTGTGTGTGTGTGTGTGTGTGTGTGTGTGTGTTGGGGGGGGGGGGAGTCGGTACATCTCAGACACTCGCCTAAACCCCCCACTGCTGTACTGCTATTAACCCGCAAGGCAATTTCATCATCAGATACTCTTTCAGCGTAACCGTCAGATATCAACATTTCCACATTGTCATCGTATTTCCAGTAGAGATTGGTTTTCAATAGCCTGCGTTCGAGACCATGTGAACGATGAAAAGCTACATGTACCAGCTTAAGCCTCGGTCACAACCGGCCGTACGGGCTCTTACGGCCTGTTTGCGTCCAAATTTTGCGCAGAATCTCACGTGCAACGCAACTCACTCTTGCGAACTTTGGAGTTTGCAGATAGCCCGTATGCACGTACGGAGGATGTTGGACATGTACAAAAGATTCTACGAATAATCTGCGAACAGCGAGGCTGCAAACGTACATAATTGCTTCACTCGCAAGGAGTTCGCAAGTGAGACGTGCGTGGTCCAAGACACATGTCGCAAGCAATGAAGGAGCAAGTGTCTTTTGCTTGTTCAGTACGGCGCACACCCTCACAACTAACAATCAAAGTCGAAAGCACCTCGGAAGTGTGTCGCACGCGCGTCACCCCTGCGCCAGGAGAATAAAAGGTGTACTCACGACGCACGGTAGTGTCTCGAAAATTAAAGAAGATCGTGCAACCTGTGCAACAATTTTCAAAAATTTCGAATTTTGCTTAATTCAGCTTCTAATATGTCTCCAAAAGACAAGAAAAAACCTTAAAGAGCAGGAAAGAAGGGAGAAAGAAGAAGAAAGAAGGGGAGAACAGTACGCGGTTAGTACGTCATCACAAGTGTGTGAGGCAAGTGTGAAGCAAAATGGAACTACTTTCGCCGTGCGTTGCATTCTCTTCAATAGTAGTGAGTGCGTGCAGGTAGCAAGACAAGCTCAAGAAATGAGTACAATTTCCACGGCCCCTGCACCTCGCAATTAGTGTTTCTGCTTGAAAGGACGTCTCATTTGGCCCTTGCAACTCGCAAGGCAGACTTTCGTCTACCTCTACGACCTCCACGGCTTCTACTGCACGCAAAATTCGCAGGGGACGTACGATCCTAAAATCCGTGCGTCCGGTTGTGACCGTGGCTTTACTGTCTGGAAAGTTAGTACAAAAATTCTTCCATGGAAATGGAAGTACATTATGTCCATTTCCTTTGTGATTTTTGTTTTCCAGCGGTGTAACACCTGTTCATCTTCCTGCAAAGAAACTCCGAGTTTAGTTTCTTTTTCTAATTTCCACAAATTATCAACCTTTCCATCCAGGGATAAAAAAAATTGACTGACTTTTCTGAAGGGACAGAACCACAAACAGGTCCTTTCACCACCCCAACCGGCTGCTATCAGCAACACGCAGTTCAACAGGCATAATCAAATGCAAACTATCCATTCCTAATATTAAACCTGCTTGCCACAAATCAATGCCAGGCAAATAAGAGTATGAACTAATACCAACCGATTGATTTGCAATATACTGTGCACACCTAACGCACTCGGCAGTTGAAAAGCATCACGATTTGACTTTGTTCAATAAAAAAAAAAAAAAAAAAAAAAAAAAAAAAATTCAAACAAAGGGATACGAGAATAAATATTTAAAGCTGGAAGCCAAAATTTTAAAGATATGACTAAGATGGTATAGCTTTGGGCTATTGCGAATTAGGTGAGCGTATTTAACAGGAACATCATTCTTATGCCTCCACTCCTTTTCATACACCATGCCAGTAACTTCTAAACCCATTCATATATAATGAATTTGTATAAGAATTCCATTCAATCTGGTGTCTCATTAAACACCCCCTTTTCACATGACGGATTTGATATCGCATCAAATATCTGATATCGCAACATCCCACTTCCCCAAATAACGCATCAATACTAGTCTTCCTTGCTATAACCAGAAACTAGTATAACAATTTTGATAAAAGAGGCGTGAAGAAAAACTAACAATAAGTTAAAAATAGGGAAATGAGTGGGAATCCCTGGCATGCTATTCAGTATGCCCCTGTGAATCCGCCGATTGAATGGTGTCAGTTATGTAACCTACTGTAGATATCGCAACTTAGCGGTATTTGTTTACTTTAGCCAGCCAAATCGCTGACCTAATCCAAATTTATTCGCTGGGGACCTTATGTGGGCCACAATATCTATAACGTCTCAACATGGAACCTTCACAACCCAAGTTAGACGCAATTTACACCAAGGGGAGATTCGACGGCCACGTTGCCGTAGTGACCGGGGGAGCGTCTGGCATAGGTAGAGCGTGTGTTAAACGACTTGCGAGTGACGGGGCAATTGTGGCATTTCTAGACGTCAATCGCGATGCGGGGGAACAGCTCGAGGCAGAGTTAAAGAGGGTGGGGTCTGACGCCATATATTACCACGTCGATGTCGCTGACAGAGATGCGTGTTTCCATGCAGGGGATGACATTGCCAGCAAACATGGCGGCTGCATCAACTATTTGGTCAACTGTGCTGCAACGTTCCTATTTAAAGGTACGATAGGAGTAGTCGGAAACGGACTTCACTTCTTAATAAGACTTTTGATCTTTATTATAGAAAAGGGCATTCTAATATGTGTGCATTGGTATAATATGTCCCCTGCTCTTTTGGTGCTTACTCTGCAGCTTGCCTTCCATCGCACCGTTCGACTGGTATTATAGCATGTACTAATATTAAGGGCTGGACGTGGAGAAAGACAGAGAGAGAATGTTAACTAACAGACAATCTGTTTCCCAGGTTTGGATGCCACGCCGTCCGACTGGAGGAAGGCTCTGAGCATCAACGTGGAAGGATACTCCAACATGGTTCAGGCTTGTGTTCCTCACTTGAAAAAAGGTAGGTCCCACGTGATATTCATTTGCATCGAGGGGTACAATTCTGTGTACCGCTCCAGTTTGAGAGGCAACGTAGTAACCTGGCTGGTGCGCAAGCGTAAGAAAGTTATCACAAGCAGCCGACGTGGTAAACCGGTGTAACGAAACAGAAGAGGGTCCGTGTAACAGAAAGTCAGCCCCCTGTTCAGTTGCAATGGTTAGGGTTATCCTAACGTAAGTGGGTTGAAATCTAGAGCGAGGCTTACCTGTACAAATGAATGGGAAGCGGACTCCCTGTTATGGGGGGCTCTCTGTCATGTAACACCGGGTTCAACTTTACTGGTACCGGTATAAATGTACACTGGGACTTGTGAAAGGCAATTGAATATTGCTCAACATCATCTTGCAAAAAATAATGCCAAGTTATTTTAAAAAACGTTTTGACACAATGTACAGTGTATTCTTATTTATTAATAAATTTGTTTCGTTATTATGTTTCGTTGCAATAAAGAAACAGTGGGGCTTTCTGATTTAATTGTTGCAAAACTACAATATATCTGACCAACAGTTTATAATATCAATTATAACTAATTTATTTTTAACCTGAATTTTTATCGTACGAATAATTTATTAATTAAAACTATCATAGAATAACACATTTTCTCTTCAGCGTGAGAGCGTGATTGAGTGCTGTCCCCTTGTTTGTATTGTCAGGTACTTGCGATGTGTTTTGTCAATAAATAAATAAATAAATAAATAAATAAATAAATAAAAACAGTTTACAATATCGAAATTAAGACTGCATGGGCTTGAGCCAATTCAAAAACCCAAATGCATTCGACCTGATTGTATCCTATCCCAGATTCTCCAAGTCGAATATATATGTGACGAATCATTGCACTTGGATTCGATGTTTTATACTCTTTTGATTATTTAACTCAGTTTAAGATGTTTATCTTAACGTCTTTGCCGTGTTTTTTTTTTTTCATGTACATTTTAAAATAAAATATATGATTTTTTTAAATTGTTTATTTGTTTTAAAGTTTGAATCGGGAATGATGAGTAGCTATATTCTATTTTTTATATTTATTAATATATTTATTTATTTTTTTTTCATTTATAGGACATGCAGACGTACTGCAGAAAATATGACATTGGGACATTTTCAAAAGTGGACAGTTTACTTGTAATTAGATTAATGATTTCAATTTAAATAAATAATAATGAGAATTAGCTTGCCTTGACGGAGGTCTCATCTCTGTCAGTGCTTTATAGTTATTTGTCGGGGTTTGCTGTTTATGTGACTTGGGACCTTTTCAAATATAGATAGTATTTCAGACACCCAGGATACAGCCTTAAAAGCTCTGAATACTGCATAGATGTCAAACTGTATTAATTATTATTATTTTTTTTTATTTATTATGTACAGACACAGATGTGTCTGTACATATAGCCATCATCTGCGTCTGTCGTCGCCGTCGCCGTCGTCGCTGTCGTCGCCGTCGTCGCCGTCGTCGCCGTCGCCGTCGCCGTGCACTTTTACCGATAACACGATAAGTGGAAAACCATTTTACCTTTTGACTTGAAACTTGCAGAACTGATGAATATTCATAATACGCAGGTCAAGTTCGAAAATCAGCATGATCGGGTCACTTTTAGGGAATTTATGCTGTTTTTTCACTTTTTTCAGCATATATGCAGCACCGATAACACGATAAGTGGAAAACCATTTTACCTTTTGACTTGAAACTTACAGAACTGATGAATATTCATAATACGCAGGTCAAGTTCGAAAATCAGCATGATNCCATGTTACTAATATTTTATTAATAACATTTGATTGTCATTATGCTGTTAAACATTATGTAATGTTGCATCAAAATTTGAAGAAACCCCTATTTTGGGCACTGCTCCTATGATGACCATTTAAGGGAAATCATGTCACTTACTGTTCTCAAACTTACAGGAAAGAAACATGGGTCTAACATACAGCTTCAATAGGCAACGCAGTCTGTTTGGTAAATTTTTCTGGCAATTTAACAGTTTTTTGTGAAAATTTAATTTTTCACTTATTTGCATCTTTATTTTCTGTTCCTTGTCTGTACATTTGACAGCTTTGCTGCCTTGTTCATTCAGCCAAAGTAGGCATACGGGCCATCGTCAACATGGCCAGTGTTTCCAGTCACCTAGCCCAGACTGACCGCTGGACCTACAGTGCCTCCAAAGCCGCTGTCCTTCAGATGACCAGGTGTATGGCACTGGACCTTGCCAAAGACGGAATACGAGTGAACTCGATAACACCCGGGTCGATAAAAACGCCTGCGGTACGCTTAACACTTATTATAATGGACCGGCTGATCAAAGGCGAACCTTAAACAACTCAAGCATCGAGACAATGTCAAGATGTGGAAATATATTTTCAAATATCACGTTTTTAAAGAAAATTGCGAAATGTTTAATAAGTTTCATATAAACAATTTTTACATTATTATTTAATTTTTTTTTGATAATATTGTTCATTTTATGTCATTTTCCGTTATGTTCATGTTTTTTTAATAAGCAGTAAGACTTCACAAAGTCCACCAAAATATGGAATTATTATTATTATTATTATTATTATTATTATTATTATTCAAGAAAATACTCTGCTTTTGAATATACTGTAATAATATTTGCGATAGCTAAAGCATACAGGTAGAAAAGTATGGGCATCCTTTGTTCATACTTATTTTCAGATTAATTCAGTAGTACTGAAATTCCAATTTCAGCTGGTGGCATTTTCGAGAATAGATCCTGGCTTAGATGAGTGGTTAAAATGTTGCCATATGCTGAATCGCAACGGCGAACCTTCAGAAGTTGCCGCAGCCGTTGCCTTCCTCTGCAGCAGAGACGCTTCCTTCATCACCGGCTCCGATCTCCCGGTAGATGGCGGTTATGCTGCGATCGGACCCGAACGACACGGAAGAAACGGCCCACAGTTCGAAGGCGTCATACCAGAGTAAAAAGTAATGAGGGAAATAGTGCACCGTGAGCGTACGTATATGAACTTCATTCTCCAGAGGACCTAAATTGCGTCACAGTCCTTTGGGTTGAATTTATGTCGCAGTCTCAGATCGTTGCCGTGTCAAAATGGAATTGTAGCTTGTCTTAAGTCATCTCTGCCTTGAAAGGATAACAACTCTTCGTATGGGATCCATAATTTACAACGCACACGTTGTAAACAATAAATAAATAATAAATTATATTTAACAACCAAAACAGCGGTTTTGGCAATCATTCTGAAATCAATGCTTGCCATCGGATCAAATGACCTCCACACACGGTGGATGGCTTCCTCCATAAACCAAAATTAAATAGGGGAAATAACTTTGAATTTTGGAACGTATTCACTTAGCATTATATATGTATAGCGACTTTTAAATCATCGTTTAAAAATAGTACAATCGCTACTAGAAGGTGAATTTTACAAATTAACATCGTACAAAAGTCCATGATAATGTGTTCCGATATTCTGTCATTTAATGCTTTCTGTGAGAGGTTAACACAACGTAAAAGTTTAAAGGCATTTAACACCGCATTGTAAGGCATAATGTCAGTGACTGAGCGATCAGTCAGTGACGTCACTGCCGGTATATAACCCCTCCATTTGCTAGCATTACTCTTCTAGTGGGTAAAACACGACAGGCATACCAAGGAAGATAAAGTGGTATGGATTTAATGGATTTTAAGAATACAGTATGTACTTTCGCTTAAAAAATAAAATAACAACCAGAAAATGGGAATCCGACGTGACGCGACAGAGCGTCCTCCGTGGATTTGGTTGCCATTTATTTGCACAGGAAAGCTTCGCCCTAGATTTTGAACCACTCACGTCACGCTAACCTGAACCTGTATAATTAAATGGAGGGTCATGGGCTCTCTGTAACACCGGTCACGTCAGGTAGCACCGAGCATGTTCTCTCTGTCGACAGTCTGGTAGTCGTCTGTCCTTGTGACCATTCCCAGAGACTATATCGTACTAACTGTGGATCGATCTATCTCCAAGGGGATTCTCGCTAAATTCCTATCAGCTTGAATGGCTTAGATGTCCTACATGCCAACTGAAGCTGTTAGAGGAAATTAATTATCGTTTAGCAGCTTCAGTAGGTTTGCCAGACAGCTAAGCCGCTTAAGCTGAACGCAATTTAGCGAAGAACCCCTCGGAGATGGATCGATCCTGTCAGATCGATCTAGGTATGGGAGCCCAGTCCTAGTGACTTCACCATCACAGACTAAGAGATGTTTAGTGTCCTTAAGTGGATAACGCATTATTATTATTATTATTATTATTATTATTATTATTATTATTATTATTATTGTTGTTGTTGGTGTTGTTGTTGTTGTTTTATTAAGTAGTAGCGTAGTAGTAGTAGAAGTTATAGTACTAAATCCAAAAAATTAGATGACTGCCAATCACCATCCTAGTAAAATAATCTTCCAGTATATATGATTGGATTTGAATAGATTTGTTACATCGATGTGCCCTTACAGTTGAACAAACATCAAGAATCAGGATTTTGCTCAGTAAGTGGAGGTATTTTTGGTCCACTGTGACCCCCCCCCCCCCCCCAACCTCATTCAGCCACTGAGAAGCAGTTATATTTGTACACGTGCTGATGCATGCGTCATTTACCCGTCATTGTTGACTATGGACAATTACAATGCTAATGATTTCTTTACGTTTATTATTTGCCTTTCGTTTTAATTAGATCAGGTGTGGCGAAGGTATTGACTTTATGTTTCTGATTACACAAGGGTAAGAACTAAACAACATTCACGTTCCTTCATATTCTTTATTGTCATTTCCTAGCTACCTTAGCTACAATTTCTTTCTCTCCCTTTCAACCTCCTACAGTACATTGCTCTCCCTACAACCTCTTACATGGTTCTCTCGTTTACATTACATCCTCCGCTTAATTAAGTACGACTAGGTCATGTCAACCACCTCAGTTACTCTACAAAACACTTCACTTGTGGCTGTCTATTACTAACATTACACAGGTAACAACAATTGAATAGGATAGACCTCATTATTCCATGTAAGAATAACGAAGTGCCCGTGATAATCAATAAACTAAGCAAAAGCTATGTCTGAAAGTGTGAGTCAAGAAGATCAATGATCGAAAATCACACAGGTCGATCATTCAAATAGGAGATGCATAGAAATGAATTAATCATGACGTAAGAATGATACACACATGTAGGTGAACGACCTCTTTGCTTATCCAGGAATGTCATGAACATTTGCTTGACAACACATTTTAAAAACGAACATCTGCCAAATGTTCAGAACCTCTCCCAAACGAACGTACACAATATCCAGTGCTTAAGCATTCCTCGTTTAATTTCAGTATAAACACTTCGTTAGTTTTTTTCAAGTCACACAGAGGTTTGTTTGATAATCGATTGAAAAATCGTTAGTGACAAAACAAAACAGGTGGTCTCTTTAATGTCTCATTCCGGCAAGTTGATAAAAAAAAACGAATCTATTTTGACAAAGTGAAATAATTCGATAAGCCCATCCAAGCCGATATGCTTTATGCATCCGAAATAAAAGGACAGTGGTTACCGGTCGATGAACGGTAAAAAGCACTAACAATGTGCAGATATCGAGTGAGCAGTTTTACTGGACCAGGTGTCAATTAATGTGGACGCATTCATGGGCGTAACTAGGCATACGCACGGATGCACTGTGCGTACAATTTTTTGGCCAACCATGATATTAATTTATATAAATTTAGTGTATTTTTCACGGAATATAAAAGAAAATCCTCTGCTTATTAAAGTCACCTGTATGTACAAATCCTCTGTATCAATTGTATAGGAACATTTGTTCTGACCCCCCCCCTCCGTCTTGCAAACTGAGGTAAACAATGCCTGTAACCTTAACAAGTCCTATCTTAATCGTCCATCTAACTGAAACTCCCTTTACCTCTTAATTGGAGGGTTCAGTGGCCCTCAACTCTTCTGTACCCTCTTTCTTGAGAAAATATGGCGATATTTATCTCAGGTAAAAATCTGCCTGAGTGTTATTTTCAAAGAGCAGCTCCCGCAACCCTGGGGGCACTAGATAAAATCTGGACACCAGGTTTGAGAAGGAGCTAGAGAAACAAAGGAAAGATTTTTCCTGCAAAGCTTCAAAGAATTTTGACACGGACTTGACCCAGCTTACCCCCCCCCCCCCCCAATTTTTACAAACAAATAATTTAACTTCGATGTATCAGAGCTCTGTCGTGTTGTACAATTGGTTGTTTTTGGGAGCCATGCATCCACATGTAAGGTGAATTAACCGTATGTTAGTTCAACTCAGAGGTGGATCCAGGATTATTCGAAGGGGGTTCCACATATGCGAAGCTAGCCTCCTTTTAAATAAATATACCGTTCTGGGTAATAAGAATATTGAAACTTTTTTAATTGCGAGAATATTTCTGACTAAATGATGATTTTATTATTAATGGAAATTAAGCTGCGATGTGTGGTACATATGCTGTAATTACGCTGTCCTTCATCTCTTACGTTAGTCTACATTTTGCTGGGAATTTTAAAAATCTGTGCGTACAATTTTCAAAGGTCTGGTTACGCCCCTGGCATTCACACTTTTTTTTTCGGGCAGAACGATCTGATTGACGCTTTGCAAGGCTCACAAAGTGCTGATGTCAATCTCCTTGGCATGTACACAACGGGTATCCGGTGAATAACCGTTAGCTATTATAGTTGGGGAAAGGTTGCTGCCATACATACGCATTACACTCTACGCTTTTGAGGCATAATTAATGTCATTAGGATCGAAGTGCAAGGCCGTAACTTGAAGGTGCCCCATTGCTATGTATCGATCTATTTTCCTTTGGCTGTAAACAAGTGCATGCATAGCTGCTTTTATTTGACGTCTGTAAATACCTCTAAGGTTTTAACAGGTGAACCGTATTGTGGCTCAGCGGTGACTTTCACATTAATTTTCTCGCTGACTGATGTCTGTGGGACGCTACGACAATGTCGTCCTCTGGGTGCTCTGTGATATTCTCGATGCTCGTCGTGGGAATTACGCTAAAAGGTAAGGAGCTTATAAGGTTCTGAAGTAGCGTAGATAAATTCTTTTTTCTTCTAATAACTCTTAAATGATTATTCGATTGTTAAACTTACATTTTTCGCTAGTTGGAATTATCCAAAATAGTAATCTTTTACATGAACAGAACAAACAAATAAAATACAGCCTGTATCATAGGCCTTAATCACGGTTAACTCCTCGTCCAAAAGTACATGTACATTGCGCAGAGAGATAATTCTCGTGTTTTGTCATTTTTTACACACAGTATACTTTTAAAAAATAATATGAGCACTGAGTAACTACACATCTTGGCTTTATTCGGCGCATATGTTCCCATAAAAAAGCACACGTGCTGAGCTTTCTTACCGGCATGCCCCGATTTTAGAGTGCATTGGACGGCTCACTAAAATCGCCTTCGTTCAACTCCCAAAGGGAGTTCAACTCCCTTGACATGTCTTCTGCGCTATTCTTGAGATCACTGTGGACTCATTTCGAAAGATAATTACTGGCAGATCTATAAATGTGGTTAAGTCGGGAGCACAGTGAAGATAAAGCTACTCTTACAACCGGCCGTGCGTGCTTCTACGAGCGGTTTGCGTGCAAAAAATTGGCCAAGTAGTAAGATACACGCACGTGGAGCGTACTATTTTTGGTGGACGCAAACACGACGCAAAGCACGCAGCCCGAAAACTGGCCGGCCAGTTTTTCGCTACGACCTGTCTGCGACAAATAGAACGCCTGGAGCACGCTCGTAGCACGCAAGACAAAAGTACTGAGTAAATGCGCTAGGCGTGCGTGTAACGCAGGAAAAGCATGCAGAAATTACGGGGTATTTTACCACGAAGACGTACTTACCACGCAAGAGACTCGTAAGTTTTACTTGCTTTCAATGTACGTGTTCACAAAAAGGGGGGTGAGCGCACTTCTTCCGTGCGTTTATCTTACTTCCAAAGTGCGTGGCGAGTACTACTACCATACCTGTGATAATACCTGTGTATTATTTTGATTATCCGTGCGTTCCACTTCCGTGCTTATTACGTTTCTCTTACGTTTCTCTTACTTCGTAAGTACGGTTTTTGAAAACGTACGCTTCACTTGCAATACACGTATGATTATCTCACTCACTGTGTGCGACACGAGTACAGATCGTACGTGCTCCTTACTTCTTCCTACT